TGGCTCCCTTCCTCTCTTTACCTCCCAACAAAAGTCCAAGATGGCCAAAGGCAGGGCTCCGAGATTTGAAATCTGTCCCTCCTGCCATTTGGCAGTGCCTTGTTTATAGACAGTCGCGCCAGGTGTCTTCTTTGCTTAGGGGAGGAACATGTGCCTACATGTTCCTTACTGTTCAAATTTCTTTCAAATTACACCATAAAGCAGGGAGAAAATTAAGTGACGTATCACTTTGTGAAATTGTAGGTGCAAGCCTCTTCTGGCCTAGGCAGGCTCACGAGTAAGACCACCTTCTTGTTAACAGTCTCACTCCAACAATGTTCCTCCTTCCTCCTTTGGTCGTCCAGGGTCGAAGCCTCAGCTTGAGCTTGCATATGTAGCAGGACATAAGTCACAGAGATACCTCCCATTACCCTCCCTCCCACTGCCCCAGTCCAGTCAGGAGCAATCTGCAAAGAGAACGTCTTCCTACCAAAGACTGGATCGTCCTTCTAAACCCAGGCATCAAAGGTGAACAGGCTTCACTGACTGTTTCTATTTAAAAATGACATGCTGTTCAAATAAATGTGTACAGACAGCCAGGCAAGAACAAATAGTGATGTAGACCCCTGCATCAGTCAGAAGAATGATGTTCATCAAAACTGAGAAAGGCACCTCTAAAGTCATCAGTACTTCAACCTCTTTGCCAGTTAAGCATGGAATTTTCTCATCTGCTTGACTGTTTCTGTTGGTGGGATCAACTTTTCCAGCAGAGATCCTCCCTTACTGAAAGTTAGCTCTCAGTTAAGAGGCATCTCTGGAAGTCCGACTTGGCAGCTAGAGCTTGCGCTACCCACAGCTACTTTGAGACAAGCCTCTTGCTATAGAACTGCAGCATTTTTCTGCAAGGTCAGTGGAACTAAGACCTACTGCTCCAAGGTGACCCCCTGCTCCTGCAAATGTGCAATAGGTGCAGTGTTCCTTGATCCAGGCATGATCTTTGACCCTTTCAGGACTGTATGTCCTAGCGTGCTGTTCTGCAGAGATGTGGGCAGCTCGCCAGTTGTGTCTTCAGCCCTTTCCAACGGTTAGTCCACCGAGAGGTGTCCTAGAGGATCACAGTCAATTCTTAACTGTCCATGAACCAAACTGCCTAATGGAGGCGTGGAAAACAACAAGTCCTGCCATTGAGGAGACTAAGTGATGCTCCTTCTTTGGTTGCTTTAACTCATGATTCCTTGTAACTCGTAATTCCTTGATCTTCAGGAATTCTGATGACGTTGGCACAATTTTGATAGCCCTGGTTGAGACAGACCAAGTGAGGAGGCTTTTTGTTCATTTCTGCTGCTCTCTAATGAAAGTGCTATCTAACTGCCATATTGGCTCTTCTTTTCCAAAGTAAATGGCTGCATTAATTAACAGTTTCTTTCTTCATTTTCTCCTTCTCCAGTTTGGCTTCTCTCTTCCTCCAGTTTAGCTCCCCCTGCTATCCTTCACCACTTCTGTCACACTGACTGCTCGCTAAGCCACAAAGCAGGTTTCCTCAATCAATATTCTTGCTTGTCTCCCACTCTGACAGGGCATAGCTTATTAATCACCTGATACAGAAAAGAAGAAAAATGGTTACTTATGCTACAGTAATTGTGGTTCTTCCAGACACATTCTCCACAGGGGTTCCACAAGTGATCCTTTGTCCCTCGTTCTGATGGATACTTTACCAGTGGCAAATTTGAGATGGGTTAGGTTGGAGCTGCCTAAGCTTAGTTTGCTCCATTACCTCTGTTAGCAGTGCAGCTCCTGGCTTCCTAGGCTGCACGTGTTCGTCTTTCATCTTCCCAAACCAAGAGGTCAATCCGTATTTCTGCGTTCCCGTCCTTACAGCCCACTTGCAGCTAGGACATAAACCCCTGCCCATTTATTTCCCTCTTTCTGCCAAATAGGACCCTAGTCCCTTACATGAGGCACAGCAAACCTTGCCAGCTCCCTGTCGTCCATCATCCAAAATCTTGAGACAGGAGCACAGGTTCAGGACTGGCAGGACTGCAGGAGACACTGTTTGTATGTGGGAGCAGGCACTGAAGCTGGAAGTTGCCACTTCTCAAAGAAACAAGTTGATGGTAGCTGCACACATAATGGCTCTTACCCTACAGCATACATAAAAATCAGAGTTTGGAGCTGCAGCTGTTGCACACCGCATTAGGTGGCCTAATGATGTGCATAGGGCAGTCTGGGAGTCCTTTGTCTTCCGCCGTTGGTTGTAGTAATCGTGAGGGTTCACAGGCACAGCCTGGATGGACATTATTGTCTTCAAAGCACTTGATCTTGTTCATGTGAGTACATGCTCACCGGGGATCTGTGTGGACTGCACTTCTTAAAGAATCACAGTTACCATAGGGTAAGTAATCACTTTTCATTTTGTTTCCTTAAAGAAACAGTTAAAACCAAGGATGACTGTAATGCCATTGATATCTTTAAGTCTATCATTATTATGACTCTAATGTTTCTAGGACCGTTGTTCTGATTAACAAACTGATTAATTTCAGGAGTTGAAACTAGATTCACTCTTCTGTATAGCAGACACAATGACACTCACTGGCAAATGCTGTGTTCCCATTGTAGCTGTCTTATTCTGAAAGAAAAATAACCATGAAACTAATATTTTCCTTTATTGTGGCTGGATACTCTAAAAAGAATATGAAGTGCAAGTTAGGAGGAGGAGGATTATTGGTTTTATTCATTCAACGTCTTAATTATCATTTTAGTTTACATATCAAATCATATTTTAAAACATTTTCAAGTGCAGCTTTTTTTTTCAGTTTCTTAAAGATAACCTGAGAATTTTGAAGAGAATATTCCTTCTTTTTAATATTAAAAGCAGGAATAAATGATTTTGCTTAGGGCTTTAAGGGTTTTTTTTTTCTTTGACTCTTTAGATGTTAGAAAATCAGGTATTGGCCAACCTAAAATTATCTGGGTAGCTGGAGAGTTAGTAAAACTAGTGTCTCACAGATAAAAGATAAGCGGGTAAATTATGAGAATTACAGTCTCATAAATTATAAAACAGAAGAGTAGAAGCCTAGCTTGTTGTGAGTTTCCAGGTGGGTTTTAGGCATATACATGTGACAATGCATTTTGCAGTGTGATGCTTCTCTGCTTCGTGCGGAGAATAATCTGAACTTTGATATTCATTAAAAATTGTTCCTAACTCATCTGGTTGAGAAGAAAACTTAGTAACGCTCTAGCTATAAGCAGTTATAAGAAGAATGATACATCTTTGTCCAGGATTCTGCCTCAGAGATTTTCTGGTGTCAAAAGCTGCGGAGAAAGGTGGTCTGAAAATTGTAATTGTAATTGTAATAGGCAATTTTGGAATTCTGCCCCAAAAGACAATCTTTTAACCAGTAGTTGATTTACTGCTGCAAAGCATAAGAATATTTTTTTATCTTCTATTTTTGTTTAATCCTGTCAAAAGTAGCAGATGTTTTCATAATTCATATAAAATTCCCCTCCTTTATATGTATCTTGTTAAGCTCTTTGATTTAATAATGGTCCTGTAGAAGTTGAGATCCCAGGCTAATTGTGGGTATATCACTCTCCTCATCTGGGTCTGCTGCATTGCAGTGTTGCTATATTCATAATGTGGTAAATATGATCATCTGACCTTCCTCCTTCATTCCATTCAGCGTTTTAAATACATCTGGCATTTACCTTGCTTATTTACTGGTTGGATTTGCTTGAGTTTCTCCTGATATGATAGTCTTTCCATGCCTCTGATGGCCCATCTCTGAGTCCACCTGGGTTTTGCTCGAGCTACTTTAGATGCGTGGTGAGAATTGAACATCATAAGCATTTAAGAGAAAATGTTCAACAGTGTTGATGGGGCATTTTAACATCTTAAATAGAATTTAATTTCTTTTTTTTTTTTTTAATAGAAACCAGTCTGTAAATACCAAGAGTGGAGGGACTAAGTCTGTGAGGACTTAGTTCATTAAATGTTTGTGGTTGTCTTAAATATTGACTATTTATTGTGGGCTAGTTGAGTAGAAACTTCTGGATAATGAAGTTCTTCCTTTTTATTGTGATAGTGGGAGGTGATGAGATAGGTATCATAGGGTAGGCATCAAAAGAAGAAGTGAGAGTTGTGTTCTCTGTCTTGTACGTTAGTTGAGAACAAAGGTTTCAGTTTTTCTTTGGGTACTGGAGCTGTTTCTACCACCTGCTTGTATGTAAAAAGGCCCAAATAAGTGTTCTTAGCTGTCAGAAAGCTTCCCCTAGTTTCTGCAAAGCACTTTTGCCTTTGATATGTGTTCAGGCATGCTGGTTTGCTCACATACGTGCTTACCAGAAGAGGAGGTTGGGGCTGTGTGAAGTTGAACTCAATACCAAAATAAAGAATACTTTACTGGAGTGAATGGGAAATGAGAAAGGGAAAAGTGCTGGAGGGGTAGAAGGGGGCAACACTGCATTATCTCAGAGCTCCTGCCACATATCCTGAGCCTACTATGCCACAGAGGGTATGTGCGCTCTATAGAGGATTTTGCCCTTATGTACCTGGAAGAGTTGGAGGGGATAAACCTCTCCCCCACAATGAGGCGTTGAACATGTTTTCAGTATATACCCTGTGTTATCCAGAAGGCCTTCTAGCAAGAAAGCGAAGACATACTGCATATTTACAAAAGGACAGTGGCAGGGAAAAGGGAGAAATAAGGGAAATTCCAGAAAGGCCCTCTGGATTTGCTCAGGCACACCTAGACTTGCCCTGTATTGGGATTTACATATAGCTTGTACATCATTAAGAGGCTTTATTATTTTTTAAATTAATTTTATTTTCCTTTGCAGGTCACCTTTTAAGCTGCTATTTCCTGTATAATTAAGCAGAGTGAACGCATTAGGTTCTAGTAAAGTTGGGCCTAACCCAGAAATCTTCTCTTACTCAGTCTTCCCTGAGCAAGAAACTCAAGTCTGGGCCCAGCATTTTATATGTTTTGTTTATTACTTCTAAATTATTTGTGGTCTGTGAAGTTTTTGTTTTGTTTTTAACTTTATTGAAAACTCCTTTGCATTTGTCTAATTTTGTCTGTTTATGTGTTACTGTCCAGCATAGCGTTAGTTGAAATGATGTAAGTATACTCAAAATCAAAGTGCGTAATTGTTACTGATAATGCAAGAATAATTGATTCATACTGTTTATAATTAACAGTATATAATGTTTTGTGCATGGGTTGGATCTATCCCTTTTAACTTTTCCTTTCTGATTCTTTCCGACCCCTGGTCTTGCCGCATCCCAGGCTTTCTGAACCCGCTGGTTTCACTAGAGTCTAGTCCATTCTTCCTTTTGTTTTTCAGAGCAGTAAAAATGGGAAGTACTGGATTCTGGTTTCCTCCAAGAAGAGTCAGCGGAACTGGTTAAGACCAAAATCTGAGGACTTTAGTGGGCAAACATCAGGTGTGCATTGAACAGAAGCTGCTTTAATCCTGCTTTAAGTATATGTTTCTTTAAAATGGTATTATATGTGAGCTTTTGTATAATGTGCTTGTTATATTTGATACTGCATATAGTCATTCATCCTGCAGTTGTGAAAGCACCAGTAAGAATGAGGATTGTAAGTGATAATATGTTGAGACACAAAGAGGCAATATTACTCATAAAATTCTTTCAGCTGGTCTTTGGAAAGTGTAATATTTGAGGATCAGTGTTTTTTTAAGTTTTATCTCCATTGCTCAGTCTATACATCCACAAGAAAAAAAGAGAGTGGTTATTTGCTATTCAGAGATCAATAGTGAAGTTTTTAATTACCTCGTCTGTTGAGAAATGATACTGAGATAATAGTGCATACACGTTCTTAATAAAACACTGTCATTGTCAAAGAGTGAATCCACACTATATTTGTTCTAGTGATGCATTTTTAAGGACACTTAAACTCAATTCAAAGTCAGCTTAATTAATTTTGACCATAGAGAAACAAAACTTGAATTACTTATGCTCGTGATTGTTCTGCCTTACATTTGATACAGCACCTATGTTACTTGGAAGTTTTGGAGAAGATGAAAGTAATTTTATATTGGCCTGAATATAAGATGGCCTCAAACCTGAGGTGTGATCCTTGGTTTTTAGAACAGACACCAGAAGGTGTCTGAACTTTTAACAGTTAAACCTCCTGTGCCATTCCACAGCAAACACTGCCTTTGGCCTGATACCAGACCCTGCACATCGCCCTTCTGCATGGCCTAATATCCCGTGTCTCCTCAGCTTGATGCATGCTCAGTTCCCGCCCGGCTGCCCCTCAGGGTCCTACAGCTTACCCCATCCTCCCGACCTTACATGTTCTCAACCCCTGTGCAATGCTCCCGCACCTCTCTGGCGCCACAACTGCATCCTCATTTCCTGTGTTGTTGCCCCCCATCCACGTGGCAGCTCAGCCCCCAGCTATGCCTCCTTCCCTTGCTATCAGCTTAGTATGGAGACCACTTGCTGCTCAGCACCAGACCCAGCACGATCATGTTAATTCCACTAGCCTAAAGCAAAATGCGGACCTTTGCTGCTCCTCCTGCCTGCCCTTACTCAGGCTTGGTGTGGAGATGGCAGGGAGGCTAAAGGAGTTGTAGCCCCGTCTTCCCCCATTGACATAGGAGGTGCTTTCCAACTAACTGACTCCTGGAGCTCCTGTCCTGGCTGTGCAGGGAGGTCCTCTCCCTGTGGCAGGTCTCCTAGGTGCCTTTGGGGTATAGGTAACACCATACGTAAGCAGCAGGGGGGCTGGATTCCTTCTCCCCAAGATTAACGTGTCAGGAGCGGATAGGCTAAGACAACAGTTCATTCTATATTCAGGCCAATATGCATAGAAGAGCAGTGAGTTAATTTGTGGGAAAGTACAATTAATGCTGTTCCTAGATTCTGGTTAAAGTGTACAATGAAAAATCTTTCAATCTACAAATTTATCACAACTTTTACGTGGGTCAGATCCTCCTTTTGACTACATTGGCAGCTCCATTGAACTCTTGGAATTGGTCTTCATTTACTTTGGTTGCAGAAACAGACTTTGGTCTCAAGTTTCCAAATAACTGGTTTTTTCAGTCATGAACTAGGAAGTTCCTCAAAAGAGAGGAACTAAAATTAAGCTGATTCTTTGAAGGCCTGTGCATGTTCCCACTCATGGGGTAGTTGTCCTCGAGCTTCGTCCCATGAGTTGGAATGAGTCAGAGACAAATCTAGAATAATAAAGGTCCTTAAAGAAACACCTTTTCTGTCACTGGGTGTCGTTGAAAAGGTTAGTGGTTCCATACAAAACTTGGGGGAAGGGGGCAGGTGGTGTTACGAAATGTTTGTGGTTTAAGAACGTAGTGTAGTCTGCTGTTCAAAGAGTAGAGGGTTTGAAAAGTAGCAGATTTCCATCTTGATCTGCCAGTATTTCTTTCCTCCTATTAAGACCAGGGAAAAGTTGTGGGGAGGAGGGAGGAAGAGGCACAGACAAAGGCCTACTCTGTATATGCGTTTCAAATGGAAATCCCAATCCGAAGCATTCATAAAATGCACATGCAGATATTAAAGAGGCCCCTCCCCTTGTCCCTGTCGCCCTCCCTGCCCCCAGCCCTCCTGCGCTCCCGCACGCTGAGAAACACGCAGCCTTGCCTTCCTCCCTGTTTCCCCCCGTGCCATGCTGGGGCTATTGCAACGACTGTTCGTTTTCACACCGGTTGCACCCGCGCGTTGCTCTCGGCTCCTTTTTTCCGAGCGGTTTGCTCCCTGCGTATCCAGGCTGCAGAGCCCAACCTCCGTGGGGCAGGGCGGGCAGCTGCGATAAGGGCCACGAAGCTGTCCGGCCTCCTCTGCCTGCCAGCGGGGAAGGATTCGTTTTGTTTTTCGGGGCGG